TTCATGATGAAATGTCAAAGCATACTGAGCATCTTTCTCTTTGACACCATGTCTGAAATCCCACGTGATCTGTCAAATACTAATGCATGAAAATCCTAACCTCAAAAAAATCACCCGTTATATGCTTACATTGTCTCTAATAGACTGCTTGCATCTTGATAAAATGATTGTCATTAAATAATTGGGATACGTCAGCCACTACTGTCACGATTTCACAAACAAAAATAGTTTCTAAAAGAAAACATTGAATCTGCAAAAGAAAAAAAAAACGAAAAGAAATGCCCAAAAAACAAATATGAGCTGGCATAGGAAAGAATGTATTTTGGTTACCTTGCCTCAATGCTTCCCTACCTCACAAATTTAATAGTAAATAACTATAGTAGAAGCTCATATTTGGTAAGTTTAGTTAGGAAGCCATTAAAAAGTTTTCAAGAAAAGAAGTTTCTTCGCTCTTTTGTGAAATTTTCGGACTATCGCGATGACTTAAAGCGTGTTCTTTTACGAAAAAATCAAGCTACTTAAGCAAAAAATCGATGGATAAATAATTGAGTGGTAAATAGGCAAATCGACACCAACAAATCGCATTATGCTAGGTCCGACTAAGTCTACTTTGACTTAGCACGGTATGGTTTGGAGGCGTCGAAATGAAAATGCGCAATCCTTTCTTTAACGAATTAAGTACCAACCTGACGCCTTGCTATCCATGTTGACACTACTAAGATTTATTAAAAAGAATAGAATGACAAGCGAAATTATTTATCACCAATTCAAAAAAAAAATAAATTATAATTTAATTCGACGCAAGAAAGAAAAGCCAACTTTGCGGTTGCGGACTGCTTTATGAGGAACATTTTAAAAGTATGCGTGATAAGGTTTAAAATTTATTTTTCCGTTTTAGTCATAATAATTAGCCACTTTGTCCTTATGTGCGTTCGGTAAAAAAAAAAAATTTTTTGGGACTACCTTGCAAAAATATTTTAGACTCAGGTGTGGGCGTCAAAATCTTTTTTTGATACGCTCTAATGTGCATAGAGCGTAAATTTACGTACCTGTATAGTGCTGTAAAAAATTTATTTATGAGCATGTAAACGTCTACACATTCTAACGTACTTATACACTGAAGAATTCTTATATGAATATGCATCCATACATATACATACACCCTGTAGGAAAACCCCAAACTGGTGAAAAAAATTTATAGTTCCGTACTAAATCTTTATCACCAAAAACTAACCAGTCCGATAGTAATTAGATCGCCACCAGTTCCAAAGTGACGAAATATGGTACTTTTAAAAAACCATTTTATTTTTAGAAATCTACATATATCTATAATGGCGAATTTAGAACTGGTTCGAACCTATGGAAAAAGGGACGCAGAACGAACTGGATCTAATCTATCGAATTTATAACTAGTTTTGAACTATCGAAAAAGGGATGTTTACTTTAAACAGACATTTGCTTGGCGGGTTTTTCGTTCAAATACGCTGGTTACGAACTATAGAAAATGTAATGCAACGGGGTCTATTTCCAATTCTTATGACATCGTCGTGTTAAATTTGCCAGTAGTTTGCATGCAAAAGAGATTTATCGCGCCCCAGTTCAGAACTAGAGATTTTCCTCACAGGGTATATTTAATACCATTAGCGGGCTTTGGCGTGCACAGAAAAATTAGTTTAGGAAGCAGTTACATGGTTTTTACATTTCCGGTAAATAATTTTTTATACCTGTCGACATTTGACAAAGTAATCTCTTTCAACACTACAATTTTTCAGGAGAGTGAAAAAACATACATACATACATATGTATTAAACGCTTTCCACAGCATAAGTTCTTACAACGAAGGAAAAATGTTTGATAAAACTGGACACATATCAACAAACAAGCATTTTTCAATAATTTTTTTGTTATGTTAATTACGTAAATTTTTAAATAAATACAAAATATATAAATAAGACCTTTTTTGCCATTTTTCAAACAAAAAATCATCTTATCCCATACATATTATATATGCCATCATCTCCTGAAAAGCCGCTTAACCGGGACCGGAATCGGAATTCATCAGGCATTCCCCTATTCACTTGCATAAATACTTGTACCTAAGTGCATATTTATGGACGTGATTAGGTATTTGAAGCACTCTGCTGGAAGTGTTGGAAAGTTTTCTTCCGGAGAAATATAAAAAAATTTTAAGTAAGCAGTTTCAACCATTCTGGTTTTCTAAACGGCAGCGTTTGTCTTTGGTTATCGTTAGATACTTAGATAAACGAATGGGCACAAACGAAATAAGGGATACCGGAATAGGGTAGTACAGTAAATAAGTACAGTCGGAATTTTAATCGTCTCATCTAGGATTGTTCTATTTACATATATCGAAAAAATATACACATATTTTTTATTTTGAAATCAAAAAATATTTATTTTATGGTTAAGACACCATTCGTGGTAGAGTACTATGATTTCGCATTTGTTAAAGCAAGCGCACAACTTTTGTTTGCGGACCAAAAATTTATAAAATTAGTTTTCTGCGGCAGCGACGCGACGTATAATAGCTATTACATCAATAAATATAAGTGTTACAAAATCGGTAAATTTATCGATAAATATATCGTTAACAAGATCGATTACTATGGCGATAACAATACCAAATATTATGTCGACAACAGTGATGAGTTCAGTTGTTGTGTGGTGAATTTAGGGATGGGAAGTTTAGGTGAGAAGTGGTGATTTTGAGCGGGATGAGTTCCGGTGTGGTAAGTTAATGCGTGGTGAATTAAGGTCTGGTGAGTTTCTGTGCCCTTATCTATATAATATCCTTTAGAATTACATTTATCTTAATCTTTCTTTCTCTATCTTTATCTTTAATATTATCGGTACCCTCATCCTCATTTTTTTTCTTCATATTTATCCCTACTTTACCTTTGTATTTATTATTATCTTCATCTACATATTCACGTTCACCTTTGTGGTAATATAAGCAAAGTGTTTAGATTTAATAACCGCCGCTAAAGAAGTTTCACTTGGAAAAGCCTTACGGCTTATCAACTCGAAGCCAAATCGATTTTGTAGAAAACTGAAATGTAACAAAATATGCATCTGAGTTTTGTAGCTTTCCCTTTAAGCGGCCTTTCAATGAACGTACAGAATATGCATACAAATTTTAAATTTCTGCAAGTATGTTCATATGTGTGTATGTATTTCAATATTATCGTCTTTATAATTACAGGCGATCTCAGCATACACAGTACCGACTCAGCGCCAGACAACGCGTCATATTTGCCTGGCGTTAATGGGCCTAACAGCGAGCTAGGCAAACGTCCGCCCCATAATTCCACCTTCGTCGGCGTTCAATCGAAGTGAGTAGCAATGTGGCTTTAAGTTGTTGGTTGAATCGTATGTTTTTTTAAAAGCTATGTATGTATGTATATATATATATATATATACATGAATTGGTTGACAACTCTGATTGCATTTTAATCGTTTTGGTGAACTTATTTCTATATTAACCCTTAATTAGGCGCATAAAGAAAATTACACAATTAGTCGCATGGGGTCCACAGTGACCCCAATAAAAGTGTCGAAAAAAGAGTTTTCAAAAAAAAAAAACGAAATGTATATTAAGAAAACTATTAAAGTGCACTATTATCGTTAACTTGAAAAAAGAAAAACACGATTTCGACATCAAACTTGAAAATAAAATGAAATCTTACCTTACTTGTCTTATTTACGTACCCCGCGTGGAGGTAGGAAGCTAGACAGAGCGCGAGCACGCTCCAAGCACCGCAAGACGTTTTTATTTTTTTTTTCAAGTTGAAATCACCTTGACCCCACGTGCCTAATTAAGGGTTAACGCTTCAAGAGCTTTGTGTTCAAATACAAGCAAATAGGTATGTATAATCTGATGTCTTAATTATTTTTTTATTTCTAGATTTCGACGGAAATATTACCACAAGACCTTGATTGGTGTGCTCATACTATTGATAATCATTTTACTCATTACAATAATAGTCGTATGTTTAAGTCGTAAGTGCGCTTTTGTGTATATATGTATATATTTGCATTACCCCGCACTCATTATTTTCATTTTTTTTTTTTGTACAATTTTCCGACACATTCAGGTCGCACGCACACGGAAGTGTGTCGCAGCAAAGAGTGCCTACGCACAGCGGCGGCGCTCATCTACTCAATGGACGAAGAGACTGATCCCTGTGAGGACTTTTACAAATTCACCTGTGGCCATTGGGCGGACGATCATCCCAAACCCGATTCGACCACATCAAATGACTGGTTTCGTGAGCGACAAGCGAAAATTATGCGCACTCTACGCACCTTCCTGCAAGCGAACATCAGCGATGAGGAACCGGCCGCTGTGGGGAAAGCGAAAACAATGTATCGAGCCTGCCTGAACTCGGAGCTATTAGATAAACGTGAACTCGAACCACTAATAGGCTACCTGAGAAAATTTGAGCTGCCACTAGTGCCGAGCGATTTCAATGTGTCGCTATCGGCGGAGATGAAGCGAAAGTATGGCGAAGATGGTGAGTTCAATTGGTTGCGTAGCTTGGTGCTCATCAAAAAGAATTTAGGCATGGATTTGGTGGTGGGTTTCGATATTTTTGCCGATCCGGTAAATCGTACAGTTAATCGCATCGCATTGGGCACACCTGAAACTGATTCCGCGCTCCCATTGTGAGTGGAAGGAAGTTGTGTGTTAAATTTGATTTTTTTATAACATTTCAAAATTTTCCACAGCAACAAAGATGATATGCACAAGTTATTGAACAAAATCAAACGAAAAGTGATAACCAATCATGATCAGAATGAGGAGGATGGCGAAGAATTGGAGGACGAGATGGAAGAGGCGGAGAAACACACTTCCTCTGGTTTATTGGCTTATGTGGAGTACATCAAGAAAATGCTTGAACTCTACTTACTGTATGTAAATCCAGATGCGGAGGTAGAATCCAGTGAGGAAGCAATTGCGGAAGCGGCCTTGCACGCTGTTAAATTCGCGAAGAAGATGTATAGGGTAAGTAAGAACCATAAACAGTACACTGGGCTAAATATATTTCTCTCAACGCAAGATTTCGTTACACCGTGCAACAAAAATCCAAAAATTTCCACACGAAGTAATGGAAATGTACTCACAAAGTTCTGCTTTTAGTTGTCAGGTTTTTTTTTACAAGGATAAAGCTTTTAAATGACATTTTCGATACCTATTCGTCCTTGTGCATCTAAATATTTAATCCTCTCCAAATATAGAGAACTTTCTTTTATATGGGTATCAAATATTATTATGTATTCTACATTGTACTGAAATTTTTAAATCATTTTTTGAACTAATCGTATCTCAGAAATTCAAAGTCAGAAAGTAAAATTAACAACGCCCCTAGTTTTGCGGGAATATTAAACTTTTTGTGTATATGTAAATCTTACTGTCGCGCGGTATTATAGTTACCAAAAAATATTGGTGTTTTCGTTTGTACCAAAGAATGTCGCCTTTTGATTGCCGCTTTCTCTGTTCGTGTCTGATTCTAAAATAAAAGCAAACCGGTAAGAAAATTCTACTAGGGTTCTCTCTTTGACGCAAAAATGTCAAAAGCAAAAATTAGCGCTTTGCTTTGAAATGCCGCAACAAAGTGAACAAAGTAAAATTTTATTTATTTTATTTTCTTCTGTTGCACAGCCATTTTCAATTGAATTAATGTCCAACTCAGTCAGCTGATTGCGCGAAACGGAAGCATATGTTTGTTGTAAAAAACTGTCGAAAATTTTNATTTTCTTCTGTTGCACAGCCATTTTCAATTGAATTAATGTCCAACTCAGCTGATTGCGCGAAACGGAAGCATATGTTTGTTGTAAAAAACTGTCGAAAATTTGGCATTTTCGCTTAATCGAGTGTATTTCTTTCTTAAAATGTCACACTCACACTCTAGTGAGGCACATTTTCAGGCCTTTGAAACTTTGTGAGGGAAGATGTTAATTAACCATCTGGTAGAACATGCACATTTACAGGGTGGCGTGTAACACCAAAAATATTTCGAAAAAAAAGAACAACAGTTCTTGGAAGAAACGAAAACACCACAAAACTCAATAAATAGTTATCAAATTTTGGTTGCCACATACATATTTTCCATTTAGCTAAAAGACAATGCAGAAAATACTACCAAAACTTTGATGAATCCCATGGAGGACATCGTTTACATATCTGTCGAAGATCTGCAGAATCTAACAGACAGCCTAATAGCACCCAACACCGTACTCAACTGGACGCAATACTTGCTGCTGATGATGCAGGAGACAAATCACTCACAACGATTCAATCTCTCCGAGTTAACAATCATTACCAGCCACGCAGACATCGTATACCTGCAAAGCATATCGGAATATTTATTAGACGCCCCACCAACCGAAATCGAACTCTATATTTGGCTAAGTGTTGTCGAGGAGCTAATACTGCACACCACCAGCGACATGCGTCTGCTACACTACGAATATATGCGAGTGATTGTTGGCACCGAGGGCAGTTCACCGCGCTCCCTCTATTGTGCGCATGGCGTAAACAGCCTTTTGGGCATGGCCGTTAGCTATGCACTGGCCGATGACGAATTCACACGTCACAAGTTGCCCAAAGTGGAGCGTATGCTGAGCGATATACGGCATGCATTCGATACGTTAGTGCGTCGCACCTCGTGGATGGATGAGGAGACCAAGCGTGAAACGTTGCAAAAGTCAGCTTCCATGAATAGTTTTATTGGCTTTCCGGAATGGTTGCGCAATGCAACGGCACTGGACGAGCACTATGCCGGTGTGCAGGTGAACGAGAGCACACACCTGGAGAACATGATTGGAGTGCTGCGTTGGGAAATGCAAGAAAAATTGGATAATTTCTACCGACCTGAGCCACTCGGTTGGGCCACATCGCCATCAAATGTCAATGCCTTTCACACTTTTCAACATAATACGATAAGTGAGTGTGTAGAAAAAGCAGAAGAGTGCTTGAGAAGATTTCACTTACATATTTATATAAATACATGCATATGTACATATGTAGTATGTACGTAAACTCAAATGATTCTATCTATTTCTTCACGCCATGCAGCTATTCCCATTGCCATATTGCAATATCCTTTCTATGACCTCGGCATGGAGTGAGTAAAATGTTTATTATCTATGCTAGCCATATGTACAATGTATTTGGCTTTCCTTTGCTGTGCGATTTACCGTAGATGTTTTTGATTTCTACATAAATATTTTATTTTAGAATTTCACTGGACGCCCGCATTCATTTCTGATATTGCAATTTATATATATGTACATATATATCAGCTATGAGCACAAAATAGAAGAAACTTAAGCACAAGTAGATACATGCATCCATAGATTATCAAATACATGCGCGCGCACACACATTCATTAGGATGTACGATGCTGCCAAAAACTTAAAAATTAATATGTTTTTTATTTGGTTTTCGGCTAAATTTGGCAGATTTTTTTTTTTCTTTTCAGGAACAATCGCAAAGCTACTCAAAATAAATTTTATTTTTATTTTTAAACCCTTTAGGCTTTTTGGAAAAAATGTTTTTTTGCGTAATTTTGCAGAACTTTTTTTTCCTTTGCAAGAACTTTAGAACCATAGAAAAGCTACTCGGAGCAGTTTTAATTTTATTTTCTTTTTGGCTTTAAAAAAATAAAAATAAAAATCGGCTTAATTTTGTAGACCTTTTTTCCTTTTAGGGAATTCTAGAACTGTTGAAAAGCCAATGAGAAAAGTTTTATTTTTTTTTCAAACATTAAACTTTTTCGACTTAAATTTTGTATTTATTTTTTTGCGTACATTTTAATTATTTGTTTTTGTTATTTTTTTGGCCTTATAATAATTATATTCAACAATTTATATTGAGCTCGAGGCCGTTTTTTAAATGAAAATTTATTGTGGAAAAGCAACAATAATTTGAAAAAATGGTAGAAGTGATAGCTATTTCGGAAATCACCACATTTCCTCATCAGACTTCTTTCAGTAGGATTCGAACCGACGATCCCACTGACTCAGCCAGTTGCCTATGCACCGTGCTAAGACGCCTTGTAAATTATCGTTTGCTTATTTCCACTATTTTCATTTTTGTTATGCCAACACAATCAAGCGCAGCTATTCCGCTGCAATTCACTTGATCATGTGGTTGTTGGTTTTGTTGGTTTGTGCTAATAATTCTATTTTTAGAATGCTTAACTTTTAGGTGTGCTCGTCCTTAAGTTATTTGTTTTTTGTTATTTTTTGGCCTTTTAACAATTATATTCAACAATTTTATAATGAGCTCGAGGCCATTTTTTAAATGAAAATTTATTGTGGAAAAGCAACAATAATTTGAAAAAATGGTAGAAGTGATAGCTATTTCGGAAATCACCACATTTCCTCATCAGACTTCTTTCAGTAGGATTCGAGCCGACGATCCCACTATAGAATTATTAGCAAAAACCAACAATACTAACAACCACATGATCAAGTGAATTGCAGCGGAACAGCTGAGTCAGAGAATACCCCTATGGTTTATTTTTAGTATCTCAAATAACTACCATCTCTGTAAGCTTGGCTGTATACTGATGAGCAAATATCTACGTAGCAACATACTTACATATATGTTTAGAAATAACCTATCATACTTCCTGTGCACTAAATTAATATTCCTAGCACCATTTCAAGCACAAAATCAAAAATTGTATTTACCAAAAGAATATTAATAAATTTAAATCTTCCTAAAAAAAATTAAATAATATCAGAGCGTTAAACTATGGCTCCGTCGGCACCATATTGGGACACGAGCTAACACATGGTTTCGATGACAGTGGCCGAATGTTCGACAAGAATGGCAACATGGTGCAGTGGTGGTCAAATGAGACAATCAAGGAATACATAAACCGTACGGAATGTTTCGTAGATCAATACAGTCATTATTATCTGTCCGACATTGGGGAATATGTAAGTTAAATATTCATTGCACATACATACATACATACACACATATTCAATGAAGTTATTTGAAATAAATGGAAATATTTTAATACAACTTCTTTTGTGTAGATCGATGGCGAATTAACACTGGGCGAAAATATTGCCGATAATGGAGGCATGAGGGAGGCTTTTCACGCTTATCGCAAGTACGTAAAGGAAATGGGGGCTGAATCGACAAAATTACCAGGATTGGAGAAATATTCAAATGAGCAGCTTTTCTTTATTTCCTTCGGTAATTTGTGGTGTGAAACATATACACCGGCGGCATCACGTTATGCGCTCGAAGATTCACACTGTCCGGGTAAAATACGGCTGAAGGGTGTGCTATCTAATTCGGAAGAGTTTGCGCAGACATTTAAGTGCAAGCGCGGCACAGGCATGAATCCTGACCAAAAAAAGTGTCGCATTTGGTGAATGAAAGAAGAAATCTACAAACGAAATGAGCAATTTAGTATTAAGAAAACTTGAAAATTTTATAAAGTAAAGAAAACCATTAAAGTAAAAGTGATTAAAAACACCTTACGTGTTAAAAAAAAACCTAATATCTAGGGCTACAAAAACGATTTTTATCTAAAACGCCGCTTTTTTTTAGAGTTTCGTTTTTATTAATACCAATACCGAACCGAAAACCACATCAAAAACTGCTTACATGTTTTTTTTTGGCAACTCCGTGAGGTGTACTTTTTTATTGTAATCCAAATCACATCTATTGTTGTCTTAAGCAGTTTGGTCATAATTCTAAAATTGAAAACAAGTAATTTTTAAGCAAAAAACAAAACCGACTTCAAATCTTATATAAAAATTTAGGAGTACCGGTAATTTTTTCATGATCCAATGGTCGCATCTAAACCAGCTTAGTATGGGACCGCCTCTGAGATACTACCTTTCCGATGCAAAAAGAATTTCAAAAATCGGTTGACATGGTCCAAAGTTATGCGGTAACATACATAAGAAAAAAATATATATTGCGACGAATTGATAACCTCCTCCTTTTTTTTAAGTCGGTTAATTACTTATGCAGCAACAAAAATGAGGTCAATTCTAATATTCAGTAAGTCAGCCTCATCTGAAGTCACCAATTTCGAGATTATTATTAGTGACAACTTTTGTTACTTGAGACGGTTTGGGTCAGCCAGGAAAAAATCCGAAAATGGACCGTTTTCCTATTCCATTTTAAGATACTTAGACGATTTGTTTTTCTACTAAAGTATGCGGCAGAAACTTTTGTATGTACAGAAAAGTACCGAAAATGTTTTTAAAACGGATAATTTTTTGGCTGTTTTTTCTGATAGAATTTTTTCGTTCAATTCAATTCACAATTCGGTGCCACAGTGGCCGAGCTAGCAAAGTACCAGCGTGCCATTGGAGAGGTCCGGGGTTCAAGTATTCGCCCAACGGACTTTTTCGTTTCTTTTCTCAGTTTAATATATTTATATTATTTTAAATATACCCTGCAGGGAGTGAAATTGAGACCTGAATACCCCTGCATTACCTTTCCACTAACTTGTAACTGTGTAACTACTTTTGGACATAAAATGTCAATAACATTTTTCTTTTTTAATATTTTATTAATTTTTTTCATTTTTATTTATTTAATTTATATTCAACATTGCATATTTTGCTACCCTAAGGCGAAAAGGTGCCAAGTCCATTTTTTTTTTTAATTTAGTTTTTGATGCAGAATCGCAGGTAATACGAAACTACATCGATTTTTGGTCGCTTCTGAACAATTTGTAAAAATGGACTTGGAACCTTTTCACTCTTAGGTGATGATTTGTTTACATATTCTGCAGTAGGTGGTCCTTTATTGGATTTCCATCAGACCTAACATCAAAATGATGATATAAAATTTCGAACTTCATTTTATTTGTTCTGAATTCGAAAAGGAATTTATGAAGTGCAGAAAAACAGTATCCAAGGTACTTTTTTGTATGACGGTCTTTAAATAGAAACTTGTAAAGAAAACAAACTTCCGCTTGGGTCTGCAAGACTCCTGCAACTACAGGTTTGTTTTGTAATAGCTAATTAAAAGTTAGTTATTTATCGAACTCCCGCAAAAAAAGCTAACTAAAAGTTGGTTATTTTAAACAATTGATAATTTTTTTCTGCGGGTGGTAAATCAGCGTGATGTATAGAAAACCTTTTTAGTGCCTTCATAATATAAAATAATTAGAGTAACTTGTGTAACTATTGTGACTTATTTAAAATATTTTAATATGTATTTATATATGTATGTTCCCATTGGAATCATTAACTCAATCCTTAGTCAAAACTTAGTCTAATTACCTAATAAATAGTATCAGATATTTTTTAATCAACATTGTAAATAAAATAAAATAAGTTTTTTCAATCTTAAGATTCCTGTTTGTTCAAAGCTTTTTTTTATTAAAGAAGGATTAAGTCGCTTTTCAAATATGAAAATATTCTAGGAAAATGTGCTCAACCGCACTGGAAGATATAGCTCCTATAAATTTAACGCCAGCGAAATGACTTTCAATGGCATGAAATCGCCGTTGTTCGAAAGCAAATACCAACACTTACTCGGACTTGTAAAATCGAATACGGGAAGAACCGATAAACGTGGCGAGTCATTACTCCGGTGCAAACTATAAGAAAAAAAATCCTATTGCGGAAAATCATATCGCACACCTAGATCTAAAGTAAGCTAACTCAAAATTCAGACTACAAAAGCAAGTATAACAGTAGTTTTTTACTTAATGTATATAATCATTAAGCAAAGGTATTCGATAGTGTTTTGACAACCCAAGCCTTTAAATTTTTTTTTTTTAATTTCTAAAAAATCACCCTCTGTTTTTAGCCATTTGAAGCTTGTACTTTATTNCATTAAGCAAAGGTATTCGATAGTGTTTTGACAACCCAAGCCTTTAAATTCCTTTTTTTAATTTCTAAAAAATCACCCTCTGTTTTTAGCCATTTGAAGCTGTACAAGCTACTAGAATTCAATTGTTTGCCACTTATGTTTATTTATTAATTTTTAAGGTTTTTCAATCAATTAAAGTGCAGTTCATTTCCTAAAAAAATACCATATAAACCTTAGCTAAAAATTTTGTAGAACACTTAAAAAAAATCATCATAATTTCATTTGAGGGGGAGGGGGGCCATGGGGTACTTAAGTGGGTTTCACTTTAAATAATTGTCCCCGTTACAAATACTCGTTTTATTTTTTTAAGACTAATTAACAAGAGAATTCGAAATTTTTTATGGAAAAGTGTTTTTGAGAATACTCGCTGTAAAAAAGTACCTTGAAAGATAAAAGAACAATCGACTATTTCTCAGTAATTGCAATTCATTTTTTTTTTTGACGTAGAATAGGTCTTACGTTTCGATATCGGCTGCTGAGTGGAAGATCAACCTATATCGGAAGCCAGTACGAAAACGCCCTATCTAAAAAAATATTTCAAGAACGCCCTATTTCAGAATTTTATTGAAAAACGCTCTATCTCAAAATGTGGTTGAAGAACGCCCTATTTCAGAATTCGATTGAAAAATGCCCTATCTCACTTCAAAATGTATTGAAAATGTGCTGAGGCAGGGTTTTTTCGAACTGGCTTCCGAAATAGGTCGATCTTCCACTCAGCGGTCGATATGGAGGCTATGCTCAAATGTTGTAGTTTTAATTTTGAGACCTTCACGAAAACGCTCATTGCACGAGAACTAATGAAGCGATTTGAGAGAAAAGTGTGGCGTTTGAAAGATAAAATTCCAAGCCTTTCGACAGATTCATCTTTGTAAGTAACCAGTTCGGTTTCTATCGTAGAAACAACGGTAAATATTTGCTTATTTTGAATTTTGAAAATACTACGCAGAGGGTTTCCATCTGTTTAAACCCCTAATTTATTTAGCTTTTAATGAAANAAAATACCATATAAACCTTAGCTAAAAATTTTGTAGAACACTTAAAAAAATCATCATAATTTCATTTGAGGGGGAGGGGGGCCATGGGGTACTTAAGTGGGTTTCACTTTAAATAATTGTTGCCATCTGTTTAAACCCCTAATTTATTTAGCTTTTAATGAAATATTAAAATATGAGTGACAGCAGAAAGAGTTTTAATAAAACTTTAGTTTGAAAATATTTTTTGTTAGGGTTGCCATCTATTCGATTTTTATTTTGAGTGATAAAGTTCGGTAATTGTGTTATTAGCCATCTTGGTGAAGTCAATTGGCCCCCTCGGAATATTTCATGTACCGTTTTTAACTCAAATGTGATTTTAACAATGTCCCGTGTTCTATGTTTAAGTTTAGCGGCTGTGGCTCCGATATAGCCTCCAGGCCAAGACGAGGGCTTATGATTAATCATATGGTTAATGAATAGATTATTTTATTTTTTTGTGCCATCAGTAATCACGCGAAAACGACTAAATGGATTTGCATGCAATTTTGCACCCATATAAAAAGTTTATGGCCAGGACTGAAAAATACAATTTCGAAATTTACAGCAACAGTTGAGTTAATCTAAAAAGTTAAATGAAATATTTCAATATATGTGTCAAACAAAATAAAAGTTTAAGAGAGCTTCGTTTCGCAAACAGTTTTGAAGATAATTGCAGGAGGTTGGTTACACGTTCACAAGGCGTATCACTGGAATCATTTTACGCACAAATTATAGGGACAATATTTCATAATTTCATAGCTTTAAACAGCCCAAATACCGTAACTCGCTTAAAAAAATACAACTATAGCAAAATAGGCATGCAAATAAATTATAAGATCGTTAATTTTTGTTTGTTTGTTTAATAACGCGGGATGATAACGCTTGTATGACCTAGTTAATATTGTTGATCAAGACTTATCATAAGTTGGCAAAAATAAAATTACGAGCTTAAAAAACATATACGCTTTTTGTATAGCACAACTTTCGCAATATTAGTACCCCCCATTTAAAGTTAAAGAAAGCCTGCAGGTAGCTTTCTAATATCTATGTATAGTATATCTAATATTTAGTTGTTGCGTCACGCGCGTGGCGAGATGTTGACACAGCACGGGCGTCAAAACAAATATTATGGTAAATAAATATTTTTTGAGGATACATACCCTGCAAAGCAGCTGAGTATCATAGATTTAAGTACTTATACTATGATTAGGGATGCAAATTTTGGGGAGTAACATCGATACATCGATGTTTCGATGCATCGGACAAATGAACATCAATGCTAAAATACATCGCCAGAAAAACATCGACATATCGATGGTTTCCGAGGTTTCCAAATTTGTTAGGTTGTAGTCACATTGAAAGGAAAATTTAATACTTTTTAATTCATACTCTCTGTAATTCAATTAGAAAAATACTTACATATGGATGTATTTCCCTATATTTATTTACCATTCCTTTGCCTTCCCTGTAAGTTCGCTGAGCCTAAAGTTCCAAGCCCCAATTTTGTTGAAATTTCAACGGGAGCCCGATCCTTTTTTAATGATTATGTACGCATTTTTAATATCGAAAGTTGAATTCAAGTCTGAATCACACTAAAGTCGATGTTAAAACATCGCTGAAACTGGCATCGATGTATCGTCAATTTAGCGATTTTAGGAAATTGTAAACATCGATGGCAAA